CCAACTTTGGTCCGCTCAATGACGGCCGGTGCATGTCGGTCATGATTAACGTCAGTTTTGACAGCCGTTTGACAGCCGTTGCATAAGCCGTCAACTAGCCGACTGGGTGGGTGTGCTCTGAGACTGTGGGGCTGGCCATTGCTGTGCCCACAATTTTGCATCATTAAAACTTGTGCGGATCGATCGCTGGCATCAGTTGAATCGCCCATGGCTTTGGGTGGCGGCATTTGGGGCTTGGCGGCGGCTGTGCCCGAACGCTTGTCCGGCCCATGTCAAAGCCAAATGCCGCACAATTCCCTTGGCGACCGCAAAGACAGCGACAACAACTGCTTGGGCATTCAGTGTTAAAAATAACGCCGCATAACTTAGTTGGCGATAGTTTGCCCTGACTCCCCAGCGGCACCCAGTCCACTCTCGACTCATTCTTCAATTCCAATTGCCCAGCAGAAGCTGAAAGTTTCATCTGCTTCGCAGGCTATCGGGAGAGCGCATTTGCCTTTGCCATTTCGGCGGCTGGCGTTGCTCATAGTGTGGCGCGCGCCTGCAGCCAAGGACGTCTGATGTCCTGCGGCTGTGATCCGACCATCAATCGCAAGACGCTCAACAAGAATCTGCGCCAGTCCCTCGACAAGGAGAAGAAGCAATTTCTGCAATATCTGGAAACAAACCAGATCCTAACACCCGAGGAGGAGAAGACCTATGAGCGCTCCAAGATCGCGAGTCGCTGGAAATGGGGCGGCTGCTCCCACAACATGGACTTCGGTGTGGAGTACTCCAAGCTGTTTCTCGACTGTCGCGAAAAGGCCGGCGACATACAATCCAAAATCAATCTGCACAACAATCATGCGGGTCGAATGGTAAGCGAGCAGCTGAATCTGAAAACTTTCTCAATATTTCAAAAATAAAATCAAAAATTCCAAATAATTCCGCAACTTTCTTTTCAGGCCGTATCGAATAACATGGAATTTCGCTGCAAGTGCCACGGCATGTCCGGCAGTTGTCAGCTGAAGACGTGCTGGAAATCGGCGCCCGATTTTCACATTGTGGGCAAAGTACTGAAGCATCAGTTCCGCAAGGCCATTCTGGTCGATCAGTCCAATCTGGGCAATGGGGAGCCCATCGTAGTACTGAAGCGTTCGCGCAACAAGAAATCAAATGGCGGCGGCAACAGCGCTGGCAGCTCCACGGATCTGAGTGGCTCCGATGCGTCTGCCACGCGGACGGGCAGCGGCAGCCAAAGCGATCTAGACGCCGAGCAGAGCCCACGCCAGACCAAAGCTGATAAGAACGCGGCGCGCATGGCCCGCAAGCTGGAGACGTCGCTCTTCTACTATCAGCGCTCGCCGAACTTCTGTGAGCGGGATCTGAGCGCAGATATTCAGGGTGAGTACTGGGACAGAAAGTTGAAGCTATTTATGTATATAAATATAGATTAAACTATAGTAAAGCTAATTATAGATCTAATTATACTTTATACACATTCATATATATTATTAGCGTCCCGAGCTATCATTGTATGGGGGAGATATAGATATGGATAGGTTTATTTTTATTAATTCTACTTGAATTCTTATTATAATTTTATAATTTTTGTAAATAACTTTTATTGTATTTGTGATTATTTAATTTTAATTTGTAATTTGAAATATTTTAACAAATGCATATTTACAGAGCCTAACTAATCTAATTAATTTAAATAAAGATTTTCTGTACAACATTTTCAGAATTTTTCAGGTTTTTAAAATTTCAAGAAATATTAAAACCTTAATAAATTATAAAATGATATACACGTTTATTAGAAAAATTGTAGAATTGTTATGATAAAATAGGTCTTTAAAAAGTTCCAATAGTTTTAGAGTCGTTTTAATATAAACATACAATCAAATCTTTTCTCTTCTAATAATAGTACGCATGCTTTCTTATTCATATCAATAAAGTTTTTCTTCAATTCATTTAACAAATTCGATTAATATATTGATAAGAGTAAATACCATTATAAACAGATTGTTCAAAAAAAATAAAATAAATAAGAGAAAAATGTCAAAAATTCGGTCACACTCGGACAACAGGGTACTAATTAAAAATGATTTATTGACATTGCTTTGGCGATAAATTTGATTTGCCTCTAATAAATAAATCACAAATGCAAATTAACAGCAGCAGCGTAACAACAACTGCACAAAAAAAAAAAAAAAAAAAAAAAAAATAGCCATTTATTAACGGAGCTACCAAACATGCCACATAACTCAAAATGCGCCACGACAAAGTCGAGAGCTGCGCATGCGCTCGGCACGTACTCTCAGCCAACAAGCGGCAGCTACAACAATAACAAAAGCCAGGCAGATTTGCATGACTAGCAGATACTCTGGTCGAGGCGATAAGATGACCTAAGTAACTGCTATGGACTGTGGGGTGGACCATACAAGAAATGCAGCAGACTTTATAAAAGGCTTTTAGTTTAGGTTTTGGCTAATCTAATTAAATGAATTTAATTCTTGATTTTTGAAAGACAAGAAATAGTAGTCTAAATTATTAATTCTATATTTAGATATTACTATTATATATATATATAATACATCATAACATTAGTCTGATCATATTTATATTTGATCTTCATGTCTATAAGCTATAAAGTCTCTATCATATTATAAAAATGGGAATACTATTTCCTTCTGACTGATAAGCGAGATTTATGTATACTAATTCAAAGTCCTCTAAAAGAGGAAACAGTTAACACAGCAAGTAGTATACCCCATTGAGCCACTATCAATGGGTATGACTAACTGCCACTTGCAATTTTCGTTAGCCATTTTGTGGTTGCGGCCGTTGTTGTTGTTGTTGTTTCTGTTGCTGCCGTTGACACATTTGCAAATTATCAAAAGCGACGGCGACTGCGGGCCAGTTTAAAGTGTTAATTACGACGCAAATTTATAATTAATCGTTGCGGAGCAGCGGACTGGAGGGATGAGGCGGGCAGTGGAGCCGCGAGGAGCTGTGGAGCTGTTGAGCTTGACTATCGACGTTGATTCGTACCGTTCAGCCCGTAGTCCGCCATGCTCATCGCGGCGCATTCAACAGGCGCTTGATTCATGTGCCGTGTCTGGCCAAATGATGGCAATTAACGTTGGCAATTAACATCTAACAATTATGATACTTTGCTTAGCTGTTGCAGTTAATTGTTTATTTATCGCTTTTTAATGGCCGCCATTTCAACAGTTACACTCGAGCACGAACGACAGTTTAACACTGTGAATAAAGTCCAAACTAGGCAGTGATTAATCGAGTCCTTTGCTTCATGCGATTAACATATTGCAAATTGACATGATCAGATAGACTGAGGCTATTAAGCTGTCGACTAGATCAAGAGCTGAGATGTTCTCTAGAAGAAAAAAAAAAAATTAAGATTTAATGGCTTTAACTCGATGCGAAATACAAATCTAACAGTTTTATTAAATTAATTATTATACAAAAAAATAAGTGAGATTATTATAAAATCCTTTGAAAAAACTTATAACTTATAACTGAAATTCCATTAACATATCTATAAAACAGACGAATTTATTTGTAGATTATTTATTGCGAGTCATTTGGGAAATTTCTAAGCACAGTCTTTAATATTTCAGGTACAATTGGTCGCAAATGCAATCGCAACAGCACGACCAGCGACAGCTGCGCCTCCCTCTGCTGTGGGCGTGGCCACAGTCAAGTGAAGGAACGACGCGCCGAACGCTGCCGCTGTAAATTCCAATGGTGCTGCAGCGTCGAGTGCGACGAGTGCCATGTGGAGGAGTGGATAAGTGTGTGCAATTAAAGGCCATGGCAACTGATAAAAGACTTTTCTTCAATGCAATTAGCCAACAGCAGCAGCTAAAACAATGAAACAAAGAAATTGAAAATGATAACAGTATTAACATACATTTAATTAACAAATATATATATATATATAATACTCCAGATTGAATAGGACAACTATCGAAGGATCCATTGTACGAGTGTGTGTATATTTTATGTTTAGTTTTAGCTGTCCATTTTACTTCACGAATATTTGTAAATACAAATACATAATAAGATGCACGATTAGAAACTGTCAATCCGCTGACTTTTATTCAATACCCAATAATACATATCTCTCCCTCTCTTTCTCTCTCGTTCTCACTGTCAATCTCAATCACCCCATATTATGCACATTCTTATACCCGTTCAGGGTATAAAACGGGAAATCAGGGTATAATAGTTTTATGAAAAGTATGTAACAGGCAGAAAAAATCATCGCAGACCCCAAAAAGGGTATATATTCTTGATCAGGGCGACAAGCTGAGTCGATATAACCATGACCGTCTGTCCGTCCGTCCGCCCGTATGAGCAAAAGGATCTCAGAAGATATAAGAGCTAGAGAGCTGAAATTTTGTATGCATGTGCATATGTGTGTATACCATACGCAGTCTGAGTTTATCATATTTTTACGATAACTTAAGATCGAGAACAATCGATAAATTGATTTCGTTTTTTCAGTCTAATTTAAATACTATTAGACCTTGATATTTCAGATTCATTATGTATATATATTTAATGGAGACGAAGATTTAGTTAGTATAGTGTTGTTATTTCCAAAGCAAGTTGTGTTCAATGCTTAATGGTTCGAAGTTTATGTTGATATATGGTTCAATAACTATATTAATTGTATTTAATTGATTTTGTCTCAGGTCTACGTTAACATAAATATATAAATATGAATACATAGAAATTACAATCAATGGAGATATAATGAATGCATTTAAAAAATATCTTTAATGAAGCATATCGAAACAGAATATATAAACAGTATAAGCCAAATGAATAAATAATTCTTGAATGAAAATGAAATAGTGATTAGAGATTGTAGTCTAGTCTATTTTCTCTACGGATCATCTGCTCAATTTATTTGTCCTTACTTAATATAAAAAATAATAATAATAATAATAATAATAATAAACGTCTTCAATTGCAGGTTTTTATTTGTTTGATTTTGTTTACTCACATATAACTAATATATATATATAACTGTTTTTTTTTTTTTTCAAAATCGCTTGTTTGGGATTACCGTTGTATTCAGAATACCTTCGTCAACCAAAAAATAAAAATCTGTTGACAATTGTTTTCTATGGTGATAAAACCAATCTAGTTTGACAAGATATTCTCCAGTTGGAAACGGAATTCCCAACTTTTCATACGGCATATGAAGTCCGCTAGCAATTAGGGGACCCTTAAATGAATAATTTGTATTATTATATGAGTATGCCAGTATATTTGGATCTCATACTCACCACAGAGGGGCAGGTGTGATTAAAGTTTGTGTAGTTCCGTATAGCTTTTACGAATAGTATAATTACTGGATTAAACGGTTTTTGGAGGAACCGGCAAATGTCTGCGGATGCATTATAAAGCCAGGGCTTATAGCCATTGGCCTTCTTCAGAAGTTGAGCATCCATCCATATTTGATACGCAGGATATAACATGGTAGCATTAAAATTAAATACTGTCCTGTTACGACTTAATGCCTTCAGCCGACAAAGGTTTACTTTGACCCAGCTTGCGTTGTGAACACGGCAGCGCGCATTTGTAAATTTAAGTAGCGCAGCATTCTATAAAAAAGACTTCTTGATTGTCGAATACTTACATAGGATGAATGATGGATGTACTCACATTGGGATGCAATATTAAAACTAGCCACAGTTGGACTACCACATAAATCACAAAAACTTTCCGCATTTCGACTCGTTCGTTTAGCTAATCGAAGCTAAATATCACATATTAAATTCTTGACGGCGGCGATCACGCCTCTGGCCTTTTTAATGTAATACCAGATCCATTTTAAACGGTTCGATACGCTTGATGATCTGGTTAATATGAACAAATTAGTATTTTAATAGCAGTAGATAGGGATCATTTCGATTGGTTTCAACAAATGATTCAATCAATCGAATTTTCATATTACGATTACGAAGTGAAAATTAGACCAAGAGACTTCATATTTACTGTGTTTGAACATTTGATGAATACACAGATTTCTTATTTCTAAAGACTTGTGCTTCGGCATATTTTGATCACGTTCTGAAAGTTTCATAAAGATAGGCCCACTACAAGGGAAATTATTTAACAAATAAATGCTCGTACTCTTGCCCACAAAGCAGCGCAGCCGCTGCTTACTTCGCAGTTAGCAGAGCGCGTGCTCATACGTGCGTATGGATGCATGTGTATGCATGTGTGCATAAAGGAAGTGCGGAATGATTAGCATATCTGCTGGGAGGGTTCAGGGTATCTCCTAGTCGAGCAGTCTCTTACTTGTCTTTAGCTGCACGTGAATGTCGCGCTGCCCGGGCTACTGAGCTACTAATTCAATTAGCTGGCTAAATAGTTGCCCAAGGTGCAACCACTGAAAGGGGGCTGCTCTCTGAATTGGAATTGGAATTGGAATAGGCAATTGGTTAAACGTGGTGCCTTGGTGTCGTTGCGGGGCTTCTTGGTCTCAGTAAAAAGCCGAAGAATCCGTTTGCACAACTTTCAGTTGAGTTTCTGCGGCGCTACGTGCTGCAAGCGTGCGGTCGATTGAGCAAATCCATCTTGGAGCTTGGAGCAAAGGATACTTCCTTCATCAATTGTGGTGTGACACATAGAACTGACTCAAGTGAACAGGTCTGTTTCGTCAAGGACACTCGCGTGCCCGAGCTGCAAAATGTGTTTTAGTCCGCAGCTGTTGAAAAAGTTATCTGTATAATCTAAATGGGGGAGTTTATGATGTAAGATGACCAACCTATAGAGTCCTTGGGCATTGTGTGAATATTTACATCTAAGGATATGGATACCGAGGGAATTCTAGTCAATGATTTCAGCAATCAGTATTTACATCATAGATAAAATAATACAAATTGTATAAGCTCATTGGGAACTTTTGTTGTCTAGTTGAGCTATACACAAATTTGAATGAATTATCCAAAATTTTCCCAATCATTCTGAATCTCTCTTCTCTTCATTTGTCCGCTTATATAACTAGTATTCCACTTGTGGTCAGAAGCCCTTCATGGGCAGTGTTATGCAACATTGAGGGGGTTAATGCAATTGACAGCGCCTAAAACAGGTGGAAGACTTTTCGTAAGTCATTGACTAAACACAGTAAATTCCTCTTCGCAAATGCAGTGTCCAGCGAGTTGCTCGGTTCAAGTAATTCAATATGTATTTACCGTACTCGCAATTGCCGGATCCGACCGACAAATTCGAGATCTACGAGGAGATTGCGCAGGGCGTCAATGCCAAGGTGTTTCGAGCCAAGGAATTGGACAATGATCGCATCGTTGCACTGAAGATACAGCACTATGATGAGGAGCACCAGGTGTCCATTGAGGAGGAGTATCGCACGCTGCGCGACTATTGCGCCCATCCCAATTTGCCCGAATTCTATGGCGTCTACAAGCTATCGAAGCCCAATGGACCCGACGAGATCTGGTTTGTCATGGAGGTTAGTTTCCGCCGGGCTATCCCATAGCCATAGCCAGGCTAACCCTTCAACTCTTTACAGTATTGCGCCGGCGGCACCGCCGTGGACATGGTCAACAAGCTGCTCAAGCTGGACCGTCGCATGCGGGAGGAGCACATTGCGTACATTATCAGGGAAACCTGTCGCGCAGCCATCGAGCTGAATCGCAACCATGTGCTGCACCGCGACATACGTGGCGACAACATTCTATTGACCAAGAACGGACGCATTAAGCTCTGTGACTTTGGGCTATCGCGTCAGGTGGACTCGACGCTGGGCAAGCGGGGCACCTGCATTGGGTCGCCCTGCTGGATGGCACCCGAGGTGGTGAAGGCCATGGAGGCCCGTGAGCCGGACATAACCGTGCGTGCCGATGTCTGGGCCCTGGGCATAACCACCATTGAGCTGGCCGACGGCAAGCCACCGTTTGCCGACATGCATCCTACACGGGCGATGTTCGCAATCGTCCGAAATCCGCCGCCCACCCTGACACGCCCCACCAACTGGTCGCAGCAAATCAATGACTTTATTGCCGAGTGCCTGGAGAAGAATGCCGAGAATCGTCCGATGATGGTGGAGATGGTGGAGCACCCGTTTCTCACCGAGCTTATCGAGAACGAAGACGAAATGCGCTCGGATCTCGCCGAGATGCTGGAGCTGGCAAGCGACGTGAAGACGCTGTACAAGGAGCCCGAACTGTTCGTGGATCGCGGCTATATTAAGCGCTTCGATGAGAAACCGGAACGCATGTATCCCGAGGACCTGGCAGCCATAGACAATCCAACGGACGAGAGCATACTCGACTCGCTGCGCAATCGCATGGAAATGGGCGAGTCCTACAGCTTCATTGGCGACATACTGCTCTCGCTGAACTCGAATGAGCTCAAGCAGGAGTTTAGCAATGATGTGAGTGTTCCAGCGTGTCCCATTTTAGATATATTATAAACATATTCCTCTTTTTCAGTTTCATGCCAAATACAAGTTCAAGTCGCGCTCGGAGAACCAGCCGCATATCTTTTCTGTGGCAGACATCGCCTATCAGGACATGCTGCACCACAAGGAGCCGCAGCACATTATCTTTTCCGGGGAGAGCTACTCGGGCAAGTCGACCAATGCCCGTCTGCTGATCAAGCATTTGTGCTATCTGGGCGACGGGAATCGGGGCGCCACAGGGCGCGTCGAAAGCTCCATTAAGGTCATACTGATGTTGGTGAATGCCGGGACACCGGTTAACAACGACTCCACCCGCTGTGTGCTGCAGTATTGCCTGACCTTCGGCAAGACCGGCAAGATGAGTGGGGCCGTCTTCAACATGTACATGCTGGAGAAGCTGCGCGTGGCCACCACCGATGGCAGCCAGCACAACTTTCATATCTTCTACTATTTCTATGATTACATCAATCAACAGAATCAGCTGAAGGACTACAACCTGAAGGCCGATCGCAACTATCGCTATCTGCGCATACCCCCGGATGTGCCGCCATCGAAGCTCAAGTATCGTCGCGACGATCCCGAGGGCAACGTTGAGCGCTATCAGGAATTTGAGACCATTTTGCGCGACTTGGACTTCAGTCACAAGCAGCTGGAGACGGTGCGAAAGGTGCTCGCCGCCATTCTCAATATCGGCAACATTCGCTTCCGTCAATCGGGCAAATACGCCGAGGTGGAGAACACCGACATTGTCTCCCGCATCGCCGAGCTGTTGCGCGTCGATGAGAAGAAGTTCATGTGGTCGCTGACCAACTTCATAATGGTAAAGGGCGGCATTGCCGAGCGGCGACAGTATACGACGGAGGAGGCACGCGATGCTCGGGATGCTGTCGCCTCCACTCTCTACTCGCGTCTGGTTGACTTTATCATCAATCGGATCAACATGAATATGTCCTTCCCACGCGCCGTCTTGTAAGTATTTTCTCATTGCACAAGTCTCTGATCGTTAATCCGATGGCCCTCCGTACAGTGGTGATACGAATGCCATCATCGTCCACGATATGTTCGGCTTTGAGTGCTTCCACCGCAATGGCCTGGAGCAGCTCATCATCAACACGCTGAACGAGCAAATGCAGTACCACTACAATCAGCGCATCTTCATTAGCGAAATGCTGGAAATGGAGGCCGAGGACATCGATACCATCAATCTGAACTTTTATGACAACAAGACGGCTCTAGACAATCTGCTGACCAAGCCCGATGGACTGTTCTATATCATAGACGATGCATCACGCTCCTGTCAGGATCAGGACTTGATTATGGGTAGACCCGGAGCTTAGTCTGTTGACCCCATATGATATTATTTTCCTACGCCTTACATGTTACAGATAGTGGGTAGATTCAAATCTGAAGCCCTCTGGTATAATTTTCTTATATAATTTTCTCCTACTCTACAGTAGATCAACATCTTATTCTGTTGAATAATTTTACTTTATTTGCTTTTCTTCCTTCGAGTCATTAGTAGACCCCGAGATTCTAGGTGTACTTCTTTCATTTCGCTACGCTTTGGTTCCTTTTACTTTTCTCCCTTCTGCCCTTATGATATAATTTGACTACTCTCGGTCTCCTCTGATTCTTTAAGATCGCGTTTCGGAAAAGCACAGCCAGTTCGTGAAGAAGCACACTGCCACTGAGCTATCCGTGGCCCATTATACGGGCCGCATCATTTACGATACGCGCGCATTCACTGACATCAATCGGGACTTTGTGCCGCCGGAGATGATCGAAACGTTCCGCTCCTCGCTGGACGAGAGCGTCATGCTCATGTTTACCAATCAGTTAACCAAAGCCGGCAATCTGACCATGCCCTTTGAGGCCATACAGCATAAGGACGAGACTGAGCGCAGATCATACGTGAGTTGCATACAATCGTCGACCGTAGACCCTACGTAGACGAAACTCTCATTACACTCATTTGTTGCTCTTTAAGACTCTAAACACGCTCAGCGCTGGCTGCATCTCGCAAGTGAACAATCTGCGCACCATGGCCGCCAACTTCCGTTTCACCTGCCTGACCCTGCTCAAAATGCTCAGCCAAAACGCGAACCTGGGCGTGCACTTTGTGCGCTGCATTCGCGCCGATCTGGAGTACAAGCCGCGTGCCTTCCACTCGGACGTTGTGCAGCAACAGATGAAGGCGCTGGGCATTCTCGACACGGTCGTGGCGCGACAACGTGGCTACTCCACACGCTTGCCCTTCGAGGAGTTCCTCAAACGGTAGGCAGCGGCACGGCTATATCTTCATTCAGTCTGATCGTCTTTCTATCCCACTTCAGATATCAGTTTTTGGCCTTTGACTTTGATGAGACGGTTGAGATGACCAAAGACAATTGTCGTCTGTTGTTCTTGCGCCTCAAGATGGAGGGCTGGGCACTGGGCAAGACCAAGGTCTTTTTGCGCTACTACAACGATGAGTATCTGGCCAGGTGAGCTACGCTGTCGAATCGACAAACTCTAATAAGCAAACTAAACTGTTATCATCATCGCCAGGCAATACGAGCTGCAGGTGAAAAAGGTCATCAAGGTGCAGTCGATGATGCGTGCCCTGCTCGCACGCAAGCGTGTCAAAGGCGGCAAGGTCTTCAAATGTAAGTGGCGCCATCTAAGGCAATGCTAATCTCTGTCCCTCCCTAACTCTGTCTCTGTCTATCACACAGTGGGCAAGAAGGGACCCGGCCAGCACGACGAGGCCGCCAGCAAAATACAAAAAGGTAAAAGAACTCAAGTTGATAAGCTTAAAGATTACGATGAGGAAAATATCGACATAAGTGAGACACCATCGGAGGCCGATGAACTGTTTCTGGAAGCGCGTAAGGACGAGGCTCTCGCCGCCGTGCGCATCTCCAAAATCGAACAGGCCTCGGTCGACGAATAGATCTCGCACTATTTTTACATAACCAATAGCAATGCCCGTGTGGGCGCGTATACTACTAATTCGTGGGGGGTAGCACTACCGATATACCACATACCAAATAATACATACATACTACTGCAACTACAGCATGCATAATAAAATATCAAACTAACCAAGCCGCAAGTTTGCATTAGTGGTTAGGGTCTCTGGCTGGTCGATGTACCCACATACAACCTAAGCCGCTTAGGAGGGTGTCTATCTACATATGTATATATATGTATATCTATCCAGGTGTCCACCCACCTATGGTGATGCAACCAATCGGCTTAGTGGGACGTGGCCTACACAGACAGATGAATTATAAGTGTTGCATAGAAAATAAATGAAAATTTAATTAAATTAAGGTGACTCCCCACAGACTGACCGCAATTCTGACATGCCACTAACCCACTCCCTCTCTCTCCTCTCTCTCTCTCTCTCTCTCTCTCTCTCTCTCTCTCTCTCTTTCTCTCTGTCTCTGTTGTGCTTTCCTTATCAGCTTTTCGTGGTTTCCGAGACCGTGTCCGCTTACCGCCATTGGTGAATGAGAAGTCCGGGCAGCTCAATCAGAATACGGCGGATTTCATTCGACCCTTTGCTAAGAAATGGCGCGAGAAATCCATCTTTCAGGTGCTGCTACACTATCGAGCTGCTCGCTTCCAGGACTTTGTCAATCTATCGCAACAGGTAAACCAACCATCCCTGCTTTCTTCCATCCACCTTCCATCCTTTCATATTGCATTATCACTAATTGAAATGACAACACCTGTACAGGTGCACATTTACAATCAACGCATGGTGGCTGGCCTCAACAAGTGCACGCGAGCGGTGCCCTTCGAGCGAATCAATATGCGTGAGGTGAACTCTTCGCAGCTGGGCCCGTTGCCCGTGCCCATCAAGAAGATGCCGTTCCGCTTGGACCAGATACCGTTTTACGACACCCAATATATGGTGGATCCGGCCAATTCGATCACGCGCCAAACCTTTCCGAATCACCTACTGTTACAGCAGACGGAGGATGACGAGCCCTGGGATAGTCCATTGCAGCGCAATCCCTCAATGACCTCGTGCTTGCTGACCTACAATGCGTATAAGAAGGAGCAGGCCTGCCAGACGAACTGGGATCGCATGGGCGAGAGCGATAACATCTACAATCAAAACTACTTCCGGGATCCACAGCAGCTGAGAAGGTGAGTTCCATTGCGGAAGTGAGTTGCATTGGAGTCCCTTCTCACCTTTAACCCATCAGGAATCAAATGCAAAGGAACATGAATGCCTATAACAATGCTTACAACAATAACTACAACAGCAGCAACTATCAGAACGCCAATTGGGGAGTTTATCGATCCGGATCGCGTCGCAATTCCTTAAAGGGTTATGCGGCGCCGCCGCCGCCGCCACCGATGCCATCCTCGAATCAGTATCGCAATAATCCCAGCCAGCAGCAACGGAACTACCAGCAACGCTCCTCATATCCGCCCTCGGATCCGGTGCGGGAGCTGCAAAATATGGCGCGTCGCAACGATGACGATGTAAGTAACGTCAGATAATACGATTCGGACTCGAACTGATTGCAGCACTTCTCTCCTGGCAGAACTCTGAGGAGCCACCATTTAATTTTAAGGCCATGCTGCGCAAGACTAACTATCCGCGGGGCTCCGAGACGAGCACCTACGACTTCCACAATCGCCCCGGCTGGGACAACAACGACCAGCAGCAGCAGCACACATTCCAGGCACCAAAGCTACGGTCGACGGGTCGACGCTACGACGAAGATGGCCAGAACTCCAACCACAACCAGAACTCCGGCAACTATGGCGTGTCGCGCAATTTCGGCCAGCGGGCCCCGCCGTTGCGCCAGACGCCGGCGAGCGTAGGACGCAGCTTCGAGGACAGCAATGCGCGCTCCTTCGAAGAGGCCGGCTCATACGTTGAGGAGGAGATTGCACCGGGCGTTACGCTCTCGGGCTATGCTGTTGACATTTAAAGTACATTAATTAATGATCTACTCATATTGTGACGTGCGAGATATTCTAATTAATTAATTGTAGCAATAAACTTGAGTTCAGCAAAATATTTGCGATTTATTGAAACGCGAAAAGAGGGGAGATTTAAGACGATATTACATTGCTTTTAAATAATTCACAATCACTTGTAGGCCTAGAACGCAACAACAATACTTTCAGTATTACATAGACACTATGCATAATACATTCTATATACGTATGTATGTATATATCTCAGTATATATAGATTACAGATTATTAATATTAATTGCTTAAGTTGTAGGAATGGAAAGAACCTTGTACCCAGGATTTGATCTAAAGTAGTTTGAAAAGGTTTTCAAAGCTAAAGTAAATATGTATAGGTTTAAATCGCACACTCAAAAAGAGACATGCCGCTATAAATTCTTGAATCTGATAAACTCAAAGATTTCACTCAATGCCTTCCATGTCGACCGCCATCAATCATCCATGCCCGGCTCACGCAGACCATCAGAGTGCATTTGCTTGCCGGCGATTTCAAGCATGGCACGATCTTCCAAATTACCATCCAATACAGAACGTTTCTACAGGAAAAAGCGAAACGCATTTAAAGAAAATGTATGCAAACTTATATTTATGTTATAAAATACTTGCAAGTTTTTACTTTAGGACCTTTCGCTTAATTATATGGAATATTTACCTGATTATCTCCGCCGCCCTCTTCATCATCCTTGACAGGCAAATCGCCTACAGCCCAAACCTCCAAGTTGCGTATTTTGAATTGCTTACGTTTGCTATAAAGAAGAATAGTTTTTGCTATATTGATATATTGATCACCAAAATAATAGAAGGAACGCACCTGAGCTGCACATAGTCGGCATATGTAGTACAGCTCTCGACACTCTGACCCTCGCCAAACATGCAGTCCAACCAGAGACCTATTTATAATACAAATACAATTCTAATCAAATTTCAATTAGAAGTCTATTCAATCGGTCTTACCCCAATAGTCGAACTGTCCACCCATGCCCTGTAGAAAAAAGCATTGTATTGATAATATAATTCGATATACGTCTTTACGCGGCGCAATTACTCACCAGCCCATTAGGCATTGTCTGCTGATTCAAGTTAAGATACTGATAGTGGTCATTGTAGCCAGTGGCGCTGAAGCAGCGCATGGCTGGACTGAGCGTATAGAGCAACGAAGTATCGTTGCCAGCGAATTGGGGCTTAAGTGCCCACGATTCAGGTGCATAGCCGCCAAATATGTATTGATCCTCGTCCTCGATGAAAAACAGCGTCGGTCCCTTGTCCATCATCTTGCCAAGCATTGTGGAGAAGCTCTCGCCATGGATTTTCGACGAGAATAGGAAACGCCATTTATGACGCATCTCGCGCGGCAACTGTGCATTAATATACAGCACATGTGGCAGCTCGATGATTGGCCGGTAGTGGCTATTATGCGGCGCATCTGTGTGTGTGTGTGTAATTAAATGTGATTTACGATTGTCATGATTGAGACACACACAACGCCATTGCACATTACATACCGCATAGCTGGGGCAGAATGGAAATTTCCATCTCTTTGACGATTGTTCGCTTGCTGCCGCCGTGCCGCGTGTAAAGCTGAGCGAACACCTCGCGCCACAACTGTAGAAATTGTGGCGTTACATGGAGCCAACGCTCCAATGCCTCATTGTGCAAAGGGTGCTCCAAGTCTTTGCTTAGGCTGCGCATCAGCCCCTTGGCAAAGCTGCAGAGCGAACGCTCTGTGGTAATAACGCCCAGGTCTTGCCAGTCCTTGATATTGGAACTCTTCAAAGTGCTCTCCAGTTGCACATAGCTCTTAATGACTGAGTGTATATACTGTAAACAGACAGGCCATTAATTAAGAACTAACTAAGTTATCAGGAGATAAGAGCGCACCTGCTCCAGTTTTTTGCTGCTCAAACTGTCGTTGGGGCTGCACTGCAGAGATGACAGCAACATTTGCATTTTCATCTCAATGCTGCCGCGCTCCATAATGTAGTAGGGCTCGCCAAATTTTTTCAATGGTATATTGATGACTTGCTGGCCCGGCTTCGTTGGCATAAACAGATATTGAGCCGTGGCCTCGGCTAGCGAGCGCTCGATTGTCTGGGACCACGCTTCCTGTTTTATGCGGGCAATCCAAAACATACACACACACACACATACACAAAAATAAACAAATTAATGCGATCGTAAGCAAACTCTTTGATTACAGAGCTAGAGGGGACAAGCACACTGTTAATATTTGATGACAATTGCTGTACTCGTCACGTCCATTGTTTATCACAAATTCAATTTCGTACTATACCATAATTACTTTGTGTTGGCCCCCTTGGAATCACGACTAATTCGTTAGCAAGCAAATTAGACGAGGCTAAACAAACAGAAAGTCAGCCGCAAATGCGCCAAGCAAATAAATTCGTCTAGCCAAAGACATGATTGTACAACCGAAAACGTATACAGTTAATGCAAATTGTTATTGATAACGCCGACATAGGCAACGGGTTTTCACGCAGATACGCACATACAATATATATCAGCTATGGAGTCGCATGACACTGTTGCGGCAAACCTTGAACTTGTGACCGGAGCCGCTGGCTGCCAAACATTGATTTGTTGGCTAAAAATTCACAAAAGTGCAACGACCCAATAGCATTCACCTACCACAAGTCGATCTGAGGTTAATTTCTCTAATGCACCGCCAGATGCATTGCGGTATGCCGTTTCTAGAAAGCGCAACTCCTCATTTGTGTACACATTGTCCGATTCTTTTCTGCTACTAGTGTTTCCCATAGTTGTGTGATTGTATTTTATAGAGAGTAAATACGCTACTGATGCTTCGAATTTAAATTGAAAAAGAAAAACACAACAAAGACTTAACACAGCTGTTGGGCAGTGTGACCACAATTTAGCTGCATCAAAATGCTGTTAAGCCCAATTCGCCGCACCGCTGCCGCAGCATGCTCTGCTCATTTTTGCGCTACGCTGAAAATGCTGCAGTGCGCCGCACCGCTTATTATGTACAAAGTCAGAATCTTTGTTGTTTGCCATATTTGTCGGAAGTATGTAATAGCGTTTTATTTTAAAGAAAATATGTTCAAATTATTAATAGCATTTAATGTGACCACAATGAGTGACAAAAAGATCTGTAACACTTAATCCGCAGCACCGCAGTCATAGTCTTTTGCTGTCTGTTAAATCATTATGTTAAGTGTATATCGATTCAGGGTTATCGTGTATGCCTGAAATGGTAACGGATTACTCGACGCATAGCCTAAACTGTCTTACAACAGCTTATTAAAAAAGTCCCTTATTTGCATCTATGCGAAACTTTATCTATATAAATTAAAGAAAAAAAGAGAAAATTTGAAAACGATAAAACCGAGCGGTCACAGAAAAATTATTGAAAGCACCTGTGCATATAAGCATTTGTGCGGGAAAAAACGATCAAACTTTTTGTGGTAAATGTTTATATTAGCTGTCCTATCTATTTGTTCTATGGCTAGTACTAGAAGAATACCTTTCGATCACTTGGGAAATTGTGAATATTTTACATATGTATTTATATTAAAAGCTCTGTCAGCATCATGTCCTCAGTGCTGCCAGAAATTCATTTGTGAGAATTTCTGCGTTGGACCATGGCAGCGAATATATTATTGTGGCTAATAGTATTTAAAAAAAAAAGTTGCTAGATCTAGCAACTAAATTGCTAAACTGGCAGACCTGCATGTCCTTTAGCTTTTCAGCATTAGTCAAGGGTGACCGTACGCAATAAAGTTTCACAATTTCGCCGCACCCCAACCGCATTGGGCGCACTTTTAATAATAGTCGTTTATTTTAAGATAATTTGATTATGTTTTTAATATTGTTTTAGTTGCAATATATCGGTATATATTTAAATACGAAAGCAAGAGTTTCCCCGCATGCCAATATAACATGATAAATTTGTGAACGTTACCCTGGCAACAAATGTTATTTGATCGATTTATTTGTACGAATATGTTGAAATTCCTTTACGTAAACTACACACAAATTTCTGAAAATTTAACTTCATCCACAGCAACAGGCTCCTCACTAATTACTTGTGTATGAAAGGTTGTATATATATATTTGTAAATATTTAAATGTAAATATATATTATATATTGATAGCTTGTGCTCCACAATGATTGGCACCGCCGGGCAGCGTCGTCCGCGAAAGATCCGCGAACAATGTGGCTCCTGTCCGGATCGCTTCGCCAAGGACAAGCGTCAAGTGGCTATGAATGATTCTGATACCACAGAGGAGGAATCGTCAACGGACGAGGAAGAGCGCTGGAAGGATGTGGCGCGAGCTGCCGAAATTCCTGCCGAATATTACAACATCCAGAAACTGGTCAAATACATCAAAGCGGGCAACCAAACAGCCACCATAGTTAGCCTGTGCTGCCTGCAGGACTACGATCTGCGCGTCCAAATCAATCAGTTCGCCATCCAAGATATTGGTGGCCTGGATGTTTTGGTCAACATACTGGAGTGCAACGATACCAAGTGCTGCCTGGGCGCCCTCACAGTGCTCGCCGACATAACCCTCAATATTGACATACGGAAGACGATCGTGGATCTCGATGGCATACCACTGATTGTCGACATTCTGAACTCATCCATGAAGGACTTGAAGACCATGGCCGCCGAGACCTTGGCCAATGTCAGCAAGGTTCGCCTGGCTCGCAAATATGTGCGCCAGTGCGGCGGCATTTCCAAGCTGGTCGATCTGCTGGACATCAAAACGAGGTAGTATTGTGAGGTAGCTATATTCGGGCCCATATCACATCTGTTGTATATATGAACTTTTCGTTTTCGATACGCTGCAGTATATTGCAGACGCCACGCAATCAACTGACCACCGAGGAAATCGAATTCCTGGACATGGCCCGAGCCGGCTCGCGTGCTCTTTGGACTCTAGCCGACTCCAAGCACAACATGGAGCAGATGCGAAAGAGCGGCATTGTGCCTCTGATGGCCAACTTGCTGAAGTCCGTGCACATTGATGTGGTCATTCCGATTATGGGCACCGTGAAGAAATGCTCGTCCGAACCGAAATTCCAGCTGGCCATTACCACAGAAGGCATGATAGCGGATATTGTGACCCATTTGAATTCGGAGAACATCGATCTGAAAGTGGAGTGCAGCACGGCGCTCTACAAATGCGCCTTTGATGCAACCACCAGGGATCTGGTGCGCGAGGCGGGCGGACTGGCGCCGCTCGTCAGCATCCTGAAGGACAAGTCGGTGCGGGACAACAAGCCGTTGATCAGAGGCGCCACTGGCGCCATTTGGATGTGCGCCATGTCCGATGAGAATGTCGAGCAATTGGATGACATGAATGTTGTACACCATCTGGTTGGCCTGCTGTCCGACGAGTGCGATGAGGTCCTAACCAATGTCACCGGCGCTTTGTCCGAATGCGTGCGCTTCAAGCAGAATCGCAAGGCAGTGCTCAATTCGAATGGATTGCCGGCAATGGTGGCATTGCTTAACTCCTCGCACGCGCCGCTGCTCGAGAACTTGGCCACGGCGATCAAGGAGTGCGCCGAGGATCCAGAGAGTATGCGTATTTTAGAGCAATTGGATGCAGTGCGTCTGGTTTGGTCGCTGCTCAAAAATACGAGTCCGCGCGTCCAGGCGAATGCCGCCTACGCCATTTGTCCGTGCGTCCGGAATGCTACGGATTCCGCTGAGCTTGTGCGCAGTCTGGTCGGCGCCATGGAGCTGGTAGTGGGTTTGCTCAAGTCCAAGGAAATCATGGTACTGTCAGCGGTCTGTGCGGCAATCGCCACCATTGCCTTGGACCAGACCAATCTAGCCATTCTAACGGATCTTCGTGTCATATATAAGCTCGCCGACTTGGTCAATACAACGGATGATATGCTGCGCATGAACCTAGCGGCTGCCGTCGCTGCTTGCGCCTGTTTCGGCAACAACACGGAGGAGCTGGGACGCCTGCGCACCGTCACACCCATTGTCACCTACATGACCAGCGAGAATCCCTTGGTGCACCGCACCACGGCCATGGCCCTCGAGAAGCTATCGATGGATCCGCAAAACTGCATCACTATGCACCAGGTCTGTATCCATGTGCCTTGGCTGCTAATCTGTCTAATCACCACTCCCTATTCCCTATTCCCTGTCCACAGAGCGGCGTGGTACCCTTCCTACTGGAGTGCATTGGATCCACCAATAAGGAGCTGCAGCTGGCTGCCGCTGGCTGTCTGCGCAACATACGTGAGCTAGCACTGCGCGCTGAGGAGTATATGCTCAAGATAGACGATGATTAGGCCCGTTGGCCAAGGTCGATAACTGTATTTATGGTTTTACTGTTTAAAATTGTTGCAAGTGCAAATATATGTATGTAGCTCCGATTGAGATTTGGGAGTAGGGGATTGCTACATTGATTAAAGCTGCTCGACTTTGATTCTACTCCAATTGAGATATACCCAGTCGATACCTATCGATAATAGTATACATACATATATACGCATATTATATTCAACATTTAGCTATAGATATATTTGGCGCAACATTTGGACTAACTAAGTGAGTTTCAGTAGCTGGCATTGCTGCCTCTCGTCGAGATGCTCATGCGACGCTCGACGCGATTTGTGTGCGGCATTAGGCAGCCGGGCGGCGGGTAGCGCCAGCGTCGGGGCCTGGACAGCAGGGTGCCATCGGTAGAGGCGCGATTCCGGAACGGTGCGTCGATATTGCTGTGTGAGCTGTCCAGACTGTTGCTGGCTATATCGTCGGTGGATTCGGTGTGATCGGCGCTGTTCTCCTCTTGGCAGGCGCTGCCAATGACCAGGAACGAGCGTCGGGCCACGCCCAGCGGCGTCGCATCGTAGAAGGAGCAGGAGCCGGAATCGGGCGTCAGATTGCCGTCGGCCTCATGCGCCACATCGCTGGTGGAACGTTTGAGCTTTGGAAATTTACTAAATACACGCCAGAAGCGGAACACATCACGGAATACGTTTTGCACCTAAACAGTTGGAAGTGAAACATAACTGAATGCTAACAAATGGAATTCAGTTGAACGCACCTGATCGATGCTTTCTCTCACAGAAATCTCATGGAAACAGGCGCAGGAGAGCTCACGGAAGCGACGTTGTCCCTCCTCCAGACTTACCATGCGATCGCCAGTCTGATCTGTCTTGTTGCCCACCAGTATGACTGGGATGTCCAAGGCGTATTCCTGCAACGGCAAATAGATAGAGACACCCAGATAGAGACGGCCAGTGGCTCGCTCACCTTGCTGGCGGAGCCCAGTTTGCGTCGTCGCTTGTTGTAGTTGATGAGGAACTTGAGGCGGCTGCACTCATCGAAGGAGCACTTGTCTGTGATGGAGTAAACGAGAATGAATGCATCGGCCCAGCGTATATTCGACTCCAGGGTGACGCCGTCCAGTTCCTGCAGGATTTGAATTATCCTTCAGATGATTCTATTGAGAATGTTAGAGTGACAGCACTCACATGCAGCTGCCCGTGGGCATCCAGGATGTCAAACTGTACCGACTCCTTGTCCAGCGTTGTCTGGCAGGTATAGATTTTCTCCAAATTCGGATCGTATTCGCCAATGAAGCGACGCGTTATAAAACGCACGACCATCGCTGCAAATGGAAATCGAGGAGCCGTGAGCACAGTGTGTTTGAGGGCAGCGAGGCGAGGAAGCATGCTCCACCTACCCGTTTTACCAACCCCACTCTGGCCGAGCACCATAACCTTCAGTGTCTTCTGTTTGTTGGTATGCAGACCCAGTTTGACCAGCGACGACTTTGGCGAGGTGGCATTCATTTTGCTGGGTACGTCAGCAGAAAAGCCGTCCCAGAGTCAGCTCGACAAGTCCTGGAGCTGAGGCTAAGACAATGACGTCTGCTCCAGATGATTGAAGTAACCTTTTTGACTGCCCTGCGAATGAGACAATATAAATGGGGTCTATTGAGCAACACAAAATATTTACGATCCGCCTATTACGAAATTCTCTATAAAACTATGTTCGATTAAATAAAATTGTAAAATTTTAATTATTAATTTTTAGGTATAATATATAGGATTTTAATACAAAATAAATAATTTTAATTAAATTAAATCATCAATAAACAAATTCACCCGATATCATACATAAACTCAGATTAGGATATTATAAGATATTAAAACATTTTATATATTAAATATTAACTTCAATATTTTCAATGCCTCATTTCGAAACGTCTGTCAACTGTCAATGCCTGCCGCTTTTACAGGGTATTTATTCACTTGGCTAGGCCTAACTGTGTTTTGCATCTTTCTTGCCTTTATCGCATAGTTTGGCTGGCCGTTATCCATACGCCAGCTGTCCCACCTAAGCCAGACGAGACCAGCCCGCATTTTTTGGCCCAGTTCCAAACATTATTGCATACTTTTCAACAACGGCAACAGCAGCAGCAGCAGCAGCAGAAGGCAGCAAATATTTTATACTATACGCCAAGGGGCACTACAATGGACGTCTGCGTGGGTGTGAGTATATGTTTATAGCTCCCTCTGTTTTGTCTACATGTGTGTATGTGTGTGTGTGAGTGTGTGTGTGTGTGTGTGTGTTTGCCTCTGATAAGGTCAACAATGCCAGCAACAACTATGAAACATTTATTGGACACTTTTTGCGTCGTCGGCTTCATCGTCCAGGGCCAGAGCTCCTGCCAGGGACATGGCCGCAGACTTATGCATCATCATCATTGTCATCATCATTATGATGATAATCGCTCCACGCCCCAACAATTATCAGCAGATTACTGGGAAGCAATACACTTGAAAATAAATACAGTAAAATATCAATTAACACTTGAGCTACGCTCTGCTCCGTTTCCACGGCATTAGGACCAAGTGCATGTGGACATTCGTCTGATGCGAGCAGTCGACCGACTGCTGTTTGCCCAGCCAGCCAGCCATGTAAACAATAGAATTCGAACGAAACGAGACCGAAACTTGAATTCCCTAACGCCACGCGCCCTGATGGATGATTCCCATCGGATGTCGAGTGCGTAATTAAGAGATTAGGCTAATTAGTTTCTGCATAAACACGGATGCGATAATTATTTTAATTTATATTACTACATATTATCATTATTATTTATAAGTGTTGAGACATGCCATTCATTTTTAATATCTTAACAACATAATTGAAAATAATAATATTTTAATATGATATCCATACAATTATAAATAACAATATAATGAAACCAACCCTCTTGTTAATTAGTATAATTTTTGGTATATATACATGAAGTCATAGAGAAATGTTGTTGACTTAAAGACTTTGCTTCAATTGAATTGAGTAGTTCGTGGGAAATACTTATAGTATTTCTTATACTTAGTAATTTTATGGATATTAAGTGGCCATTTACTAGATTCAAAGTGAAGCAATTTTGAAGTAGGCCCTAAGTGTTAAGTGGCTATTTGTAGTACGTCTTTTTATTGTATGCCAAAATTCATCCTCAAGTCAAAATTTATTCTATCCTGCAACGTTTAGATGGAAGGAATGTAAGAAACTTTTAAAGGGAATTAAAGCACAATAAATAAATAGCTTATAAGTTAATCATAAGATAATCTGCATGCTATGGGTAATAAAATTTTAACTTAAGAACTTCTTGAATTCTTCACTTTTAATTAAAAATATTTAAAGTTCCACAGCTGCTTCCGCATACTCGAGTAGAGAGTATTATAATTGCTTCCACTCATGCCCCATACACAGCGGTGTTCGTGTTGCTACATTGCGTATAAGTCTACATCACACACACCGACACACACCGATACACTTTATGTGTGTGTGTGTGTGTGTAAATATGTAAACAAAAGTATTAATGTCTGCTGTGCTGATAAATATTCATCAGGAGAACGCGCCAGCGTCAGTCGAGCAGCAGCCACATGCATGCTGATTATGGCCCGGCTAGTTGAGTACGAGTAGACGGTGCCAGAGGCGACTAGACTTTACCTTTTGCGACTTAAAACACAGCTGCGTAGATTTTAATTAGTTGGATTTGGAGCTCAAACAAACGCAAAGCGAAAGCCGCCATGGAAACACACTGAGTAGCGCGCGTGTCTAATGGACAAATACCGATGACTGGCAACATGGCGTATACGCAACGCATCGAATGGCTCTCATTCTCTACCTTCCTGGAAAGGGCAGTTGGCAGTGCATTAAGTTACTGTTACTGTTGGCATGACTTTAAAGTAACCTAAGAAGTTTGCCTCCACTGACCAGGCAAACAACCAACCGGCCAAGTAGCCAAAAGCCCATTAGGACCGTCTGTGCGTCGTCTGCAATGTGGATGTGAAAAGCGCGTTTGTTTTGATTTCAATTTAATTACGGCGATAGCTTTTCTTCAGGACCCAAACGGTAGCATACGCTTTTTCTCACGATGCCCCCAAAGTGGTTGAGTGGTTGAGTGTCGAACAGGTGGTGCAGTCGAGCAAGGTGTAAACAACGGCAGCAGCAGGAGCAGCAACAGGAGCAGCAGCAGCTTTTATTCACACTAATGAGTTCTAGGAAGCATTATCTAACATCTTTAAGCATTAAGGGTATTCAAGTGTACTGCAATAATAAATATGTTGATATTTTCAATACAATAATAATAATTATTATTATAATACAATATTTATAATAATCGGCATTTACTTGTAACACTCATTGGTAATATTAAATATTTTTTTAATGCTTTTCGCCTCGTGAATACCCCTAGCGATTGCTGGCAACACCTTGGCAAGCGAACAGTTGTTCAGCGCCACCGTCAATGGGACCTTGGCATAGACATTGAATTGGAAAACTTGTCTCCCTGCTGTCTCTTTTGAAAGGATGGCACAATGGATGGGTCTGTGTAATAATTTACGATGCTATCTGGCATTGGGTTGTTGACCTGCTTATGTTTATGAAAACATATTGCGTGCTAGCTGAAAATTGAGCTTAGATTGGGTTACGTCTCGTTGCCTAGCACGTGGCATGCCACTCAAATTCTATTGAAAACAAATCAACCTAACCACTGACCAATAACAAAAATATCAATAGCCAAAACAAGTGCACCGCCAGAGCGGCAATGGCGCTGGGTTGGTTTGGGTTCGGTGGGCTTCGCTGGGTTGGGTTGTCATAGTACCAAAGCAATTCCGTTTCCCGCTTTCTCACTAAGGTCATGGGAAGCGCGGCAGTTGCGGCGCAACTCTCGCACAACTTGTTGATGACTGGTTGGAGTTGCCGCCCACTCAACCCACCGACAGCACCCACAGGTACCCACCCACCCACTGCCCCCTCTGCTCGACAAGCGCATTTGTGCTTGTCATTTCAGTTCATTACCAGCTTCGACAATCGACCACTGAGTTAACATTAACAACAAGCGTGTTCAGCCTTGCGCCTCATTGCCAGACCACATGCTACCCTCTAAAAGTACCCACTACATATGCTGTACGCAGTTATATATATATAAGTATGAGCATATATGTGAGAAGATACCCTACTGAGTTCACTGTTGCAATCCCCTAAATATTTCTTATATACCCGTTCATTCATTCCGTTGCCATTTACAGGGTATATCAGCTGCTCTGCACACAACTGTTGCCATTGACGGCCGCACTTGTTGTTGGCCCTGAAATTGAAAATGCGAAATTGTTAGACTCAGCGTCGCGCCGAAGAGTTGGCGGTCAGCTTCCCGCATCCCCGCCCCACCCAAAACCCTTCCCCACTCAAGTATTTGTTTTGTCGCGCATTTCCATGTGGGAACGAAAAACCTTGAATTGAGTATTAGCCAAAATATACAAAAAATTGAATTTGAATACGGATGCCGAGCGCATAAATATAATCAAAGCCGCATGTCTGCAGAAGCATTGGCTGAATTTTATAATACACTTTAAGCGGGGCCAGTAAGAGTACAAGTATTAAATATGATATTACTTGTATTGTATATACTATATACATATATTAAATATTATATATAAAATGCTTTCTATTTATCAATGCATATTTTAAGCCATTAGAGCAGGTAATATTTTTTTTATATTATTATTTAGAGACTAGAGGTAGGCACGGGCTGGGTTTTTATCGGGTACCCGTGGGCACCCGCGGTTAAAAATTTTTTTTTTGCTTTCGGGTACGGACAAAATTTTGAATTTTTGACCGTGGGCGGATCAGGCCGGGTGCAAAAAAGTCGGCCCGTGCCCACCTCTATTAGAGACTAGTGTAATAAACTAATTTTCAGTTTTTTCCTAGATTTTTGAAAAAAAAAAAATTTCCCCTAATAGAAAAGGTCTTATACACGTTGCTAAAATTAAATATTTATTTCTAAATATTTAATAAATTGAAATAAAAAATAAATACATAAAGAAAAATTAAAATTGTTGATTTATTTTCAATATATTTCTATATAATGTACTATACAATTAAACTACTTATATTATTTGATTTAGTTTGGATTTTTTTATTTAAATCAATTTGAAAATATATTTTAAAAATCATTCAATATATGTATATACAAAAATATTAATATATTAAATTAGAATTTTTTAAATCATTTCATTTTCTAGTATATTCGATTTGCAATATTCAAAGCAACTCCAAATTGAAGAGTACCCTGTTAAATATGTCTTATAAATACAAGTCAAGCATCATAAATGCCATTTGGGGCTGACAGTTATGAACAGCCAAGACAGTGGCAATACCAATGGGGATAGCTGGTGTGCTGCCCACCTAGAGCGGGAGTGAGTGATAAGCGATGCTGACTAAAAATAACTGCAAACGGGGCGAAAGAAAAACTCATATTCATGGTCAGTGAAGAGTGTTGGGGAACAATATGCGGAATATGATACGAAAACCACAAGTACAAACAATATAAACACACAGACACCCACACACACACACACATGTATACCCATGTTAAGTATATGTGTGAGTAGTGCTAAGCTACTGGAATTGGTTTAGTGGGTTAGGTGTTTTGTTTAGTTGCTTACAGCGTAAAATAGCACGTGCTTAAGCCCTGAAGCGGTTCGAGTCTAATAATATGAGAAGGTAAATAAAATTAATGCTAAATGGCTTCATTTGAGACTTTTGTGCATTTGCTTTTTGAGCCGTGCGAAAAGTTTCTATTGAATAATTGATATAAAAATCGTGATTACTGAATGGAGTAATATATTAAGGAATGCCAATCATAGCGACTCATTAACATAACAATTCCCCATGAGCACTTATCATCATTTATAAAGGAGCCTGACTAAATGCTCATATATTGATTTCGAGCTCTCTTTTCGTTTATATCCTCAGGGCTCTTATGGCCATGGCCCAGCATTTAAATACTTTCGTCTGTTATGAATGGCCATAAGTGAGCGTCAACCTCACTCATATGCTGAAACTGAATCAATATCTGTGAATACTTCTTTGCACCATAAAATAACATTGTATCCCATTGATCCATTGCTTGGGCATTTTTGTTTTGATGCGCCGTCATACAGGTCGTATGCGCTATTTACTTTGAATATCAATAACACTTGTAGCTGGCGATGCGTTTACGATCGCAACACTCAATCTCAATGAACAATGAATTATGATATGGCGATTGTCATTCAGCTCCTGACCAAATCCCGATGACAACATCTGCGGTTGCCGGGCAATAAAAACTTAAGCGCTTTTGTGTGCCGCTGTTGCGGGGATCTGCGGATTGTTGTCATTAACTAGTAAGTAGCTTTATAGCAGTGGGTCGATGTCTGGGCTGTTTGCAATTTGCGCCATTATATTGGCGTGTGGCAAACAAACCAAGCACGCACGCACACACACACACACGAGCACAAACACACGCAGCTACATTGACCGCTAAGCTGTGCAACATATTCGCTTTTCACTTTTTTTTTCTTTTTTTTCTTTTTGTTCCGGCCTTGCTGCCAAATTTAAAAGCAAATCTAACAAATCAAATCAACGAATGTTCGCAGCGTAGACATCAACAATTTTGCTCAATTTCATATGTTTCTAATATTTTTCAATGTCAAAGTCGCAAATCATACCGGAAAAACACGAAACTATCGTTTAGCTAATTAAAGTGACTAACAAGAGCATTTATATGCTAGATAAATTATAGAATATACGCTCTCTATATAAAAGCACAAATACTCTCTATGAAAACTAAAAAAAAAAAAAGTTAAATTAAATTAAAATAATGAAAAAAAAAAAAAAAAAAAAAGATATTGTTTTCAACAATTTTTCATTTAATGAGCTCAATTAATTTTTATTAAAAGATGAAAGCTAAATAGTTTTCTAAGCGAACTGCGGTCCAGGTTGTAATCGTTGCAACATATGCTGAATACCTGTTTAAAAACTATTTTACCACAAAAATTATGAGAGGGCACAAACATATCTGGTTAAATGATGTGCACGGCAGCAACCGCAAGTCGAGGTCATTTGCTCTTAACATATAAACAGCAGCGCAGACAGAGGCGTTTCGAAATTGGGAAATATTTATAAAAATATATACAGAAAAATTCACACTGTTTATTGTTAAAAAATTACATTAAAGAATTTTTTAATTATATTCAAAATATGATATAAAAGAACAGCCCTCTCAAGTTAATACTTATGACGTCACTGAGGAGAGAGACTTTTATTTGTTAGAAATTATATGTGAAACAAAATTCACTCTTGCAACCCCCCACAAATGATAGCGACGACGCCACTGCGTCGAGTTTTAATTGTTTACAAATTGAATCCAATAATTTTAAAATTATATATTGTTTATTTATCTCAAGAGTGTGTTATTGTGCCACAATTTGTATACACCTATATGTATATTTATATGTATATATTATTATTTTTATTTATTTTTGTTTTCTATATTTAAACTTTCATTTTTTTATAGCTAACAAAAACTAAGTATACGCACCGTATAATTGCAAGAGGAAATTATTTATTTGTGCACAGACTCGAAATTGTGTTTCCGTTAACTAATTTAATTTTTATTTTTTTATTAATTTTAGTTATGTGATTTATGCGTTCTTTGATTGAGGAACCTTCGCGCTTAAGTTCCTGTCGCGTATTAAGCCACAGTCACACAACAATTATGCTTTTATATTCACATGTTTAAACTGCCCCAAGTCAAGCAGTTGTCGTAGCCGTAGCCGTAGCCGTTGCCGATGCCGTTTGACGTTGCCGATGCCTGCTTATTGCGCCGCGGACTAAGAGGCCATTGTAAAACAGTAATGAAAATCCGCAACAGGCCGACAACAATAGCAACAATAGCAACAGCAACAACAACAACAAGAGCAATAAAGAAAAACACAAAAACAGAATCCAAACCGCGCGGCGACTGCGCGACGTTGTCAACTAACGAGCGTTTGGACAGCTGTAAAGTAAGGGGCACGTCCCCCTTTGGCCCCTCACGCAGTTGTAAAATGCAAAAGAGCTTCGACACGGAAGTGCACAACACGCCCACAACAATGCGTCAACACACACGCACGCAAGAAATTGTTGTATTTTTTTTTTTCCTTTCTTTTTCGCTAAAACGGGAGTTTGACGGCGACGCGCCGAAGCGTCCGTTGCGCTGGCGTTGAAACAGGCGAATAAACAGCGCCAGCAGCAACAAAAACAAACTCAACCAATGCCGGCAGCAACAGCAACAGTAGCAACAGCAGCAGCAGAAGCAGAAGCTCCAACAGCAGCAACAGTTAGCATCGAATTGCTTGGAGAGATGCAAGAAGTTTCGACTTTGTTTACAAATCATAAATACATATAAAAATAAAATTATTTAAATGAAAGAGAACATATTTTTATTTGTTTACTATTTAACTATATTAACAACAAGCCATTAAATACAACTGCATTTAGCTTTTAGCGCTAAACCCGCTAAACGCTGCGCATCTTCAATTTGTTAGCAGCATGTTAAGTGTACGTTGAGCTGTTAACAGAGTCATGTTAAGCGTTTGGTAAGCTTAACAGCACCTGTTACACGTACATATGACGGCGTGTGAAGCTAAATTGTAATATGCATACAAATAAAATATTAAAAAAATACATTTCATATTGAAAAAAAAAAATGGAAATAAAGAGCAAGAAACAAATGCATATATTACCTCGCTCTCGATTTGACCACTGCGGGAGTTGTTTTACGCCGACTGACCTTCAGCTCAAAGTTTGGGGCCACACGTGCTCTATATTATATTTTGGGCAAAACGCAAACATTGTCTATGGCAGCGTTGATACGTATGTATATGACTAATGTTAGTCCAAACACAGACTCTAGCACAAATTACATACACGTGCACCGGCGAGGCACAGCCAGAGGCAGAGGCATTGGCAGACGCACGCGCACGTACAATGTAAATAGCTACGCACATACCGAACATATAGAAGGGCAACCTGTTGACATCGGCAGGTGGCCTGTTTTTACAATACCCTTATTAAGGACATATCTGTTACATAGGTGCATATTGGCCTTAAAGCCTATAACAAATATAGGTTATTGTTGGGTGACATAAGCTTGTTCGATTTAAAATATATTAATTTAATAAAATACCAAAAAAAAAAAAAAAAAAAAAAAAAAAAACAACAAACAAATCTATATAAACATTAAATTGTCTTCTCTCAGCGTAAGTTAGCTGCCTTATAGGGCATTTATTTTTCGACGTTTCGTACATGTCTTCTATATCATTCAATTTTTTCTTCTTCTTTTTTTGCGCTTGGCCATTCATAGGGTACTTGGGCTACTGCATAGTTTATGTGTGTGTTTAATACTTAAGTATATGTACATATTTGTATCTTGTATCTTACTGTTAGAGCAGGAGAAAACCGACCTTAATTATGTTTAATAGATAACTTAAAGCATCAACAAGAAGCAAGCAAGAAGTGCCTGAAGCTGCAGCAAAAGACTAAATTCAAGTATAGTATTCAAAATAAACCAAAAAAAGAAAAATTGTATATTATTAATTTATAAAATGTAGATGTTATTTATTTATTTATTTTGTTTTATTTACTTATTATACATTTAAGTGTTCATATATTTTAAAATTAATTATACTAATATCCAAAATAAGACGTATTCATTATATATTGTTTAATTATGATAATAATTTAAAAAATAAATATTAATATTTTTGTGATATTTAAAAATTGTACTTAAATTATAAAAATATATTTATTAATATCTTTTATTTCAGCTATTATTCTTAGCAACATTAATAGTTTTAATAAACAACAATTATTGAATTTTAAATAAATACAATATCAATAATTGAATTCGTATATAATATAAGACAAATTTCTGCAAGTTCAGAATTTGTAAGGGTACTAAAAGAAATATATACATTTTCTGATATATATTTAAATAATATATTAAATATACAGTATATAAATTTCTATTTAAGCTATTTACTATTCAGTTTGAAGGGTATGTGATACTAGTAACTGTTACGTGAAGTGTTTTTAATCAGCTGTGGGCGTCAGATTTCGCTCACTAATTGCTTTAGACAAGCGCCTGTGCAGCTGAGTCTCAATTGGCAACAAGTTGGGGAATGCCACTGGCTTCGGGTCTGGGTGAGCATTAATTTTGGCAGGCGCTGCGTGTGTGCATTCATTACGGTTGACTGCCCCAGGCAGTTGGGGTCGCCGGCTCGCGCCCAACCCCACGCAACCCCATCGAAACTGTTGACAGTCCAAGCCTGCGTCAGTCGCCTGTGCGTTCTTACCTTTATCCCTCGCAGGTTAAATGCTATCGTCGTCATAGCTGCTGTCACTTTGCATTCATGTTGTTTACGCATCGGCAATAGCCAAAAGGTGTGCACACTCTCCCCCTTACCCTAATGTCCCCATTTTCCGTGCTCCCCCTATATGTATATGAACAACTTTTCATCTATTTTATGGCTTAAGCAACTAATTTGCAAAATTGAGAGCAAACTTTGGACTACACAAACTTATGCGACCTGTTCGCATTTCATAGAGAAATAGTAGTCCGTTAATTTATTAATCATGCACACCATTTCCGTTGTAGTTTCCGCAAGGCCCTTAAGAATGAATGATAGACTCAGATCAAAGTCAAGGTTGCCGTCAGTCACTTTAAACATAACGTTTGCTAATTAAGGCTTCAGCTTGGGGCGTGTTTGCTATATATTACATATTCAACAACGGAGTTGAGAGAAATTAAATTTAATAAATATGAATTTGTTTTTAGTCAAGAATGATTTTTATGGACTTTAGTTATTGATGATTCATAGTTTTCAATTAAATAAAATAATATTATTTATCAAATATTTTTATTCACACTTATTCTATTCTTCGCATTAAGCAGTTTAAGTTTAGAAACAGTTTAAAGAAAGTACTATTTTATATAAAATATTTCTGTGCAATTACATTCCATTTTTCCATTAAGCAATTGTTTTATCTCTCTCTCTCTTTCTCTCACGCACAGAAGATGGGTTTAGCATTCGCTTCTTTAAAGCTTTTATAAGCTTTTTCATGCAAATAAAGAGCAATTGCATTTTATCTCTGTAAAGAGAGTGAAAAAGCTCAAACGATCTCGTTATGAACTAAGAGTTGCTTTTGGGAAAACAATAGCTAGGGGATGCCTAATTCTTTAATGGAGCATATTATGAGTAATAGATGATACTTGAAAATGAAGATAAGATTACGCTTATTGGCAAATATTTATACTGCATCGATATAAAATACATAGTTGCCCATCGACATAGACAGTGCACCAAAAGAAATAAAGGCAGAGAAAGGAAAGGTTTAATATATAGTATGACATAAATGAGAACGAAAAAAACAGTATAAAGCATTTATCTTCATTCAGACAAGTAGTAAACTTGTCAAAAGAATGTTCTATAGACATCCATGATCCTTAATAGCTTAAATATTAAGCTAACTATTAAAGTCTCTCACTAAATTCACTGAACTTTACTCAAGTATACCTAGATATACAGTCTACGATCTCAGCGATCGCTGGCTAAGGTAAAAGGTAAAAAAATATATATCTAATTTTATCAGAAGCTTATATATATATACAAAAAACAAAAAAAAAGTTAAGTCGCAAACATGTTCAACTTCATTATACCCATTTCTGGGTTCAATTACAGGGTATGCAATACCAAAAATATATATACATGTGTAAATATATATTCTGGGGCAATTTTCGCTTAAGCATTTCGATCTCACAGTCAGTACACATTAGCACCTCGTCGAGCACGGAACGCGAATAACGGTAGACAGGCTGGAAAAACTCAGCGGCAAGTGGAAAGCAACGGGATCAAGATCGAGAGATCGGCGCAGAGGCGGAGGCGTTATAATTTGCACGTACTGCAGACTGTGTGTGTGTCGGTTTGAAAAACAATTCAATATTTTGGAGATTTCCAAATAAACAAACCACATAAACAGAGAGACAGCGAGAAAGAGGGAGAGAGAGAGAGAAAGACGAGGCACGCCACTTGGCCGGCCAAAAGAAGCTGCCTCTGGTCTGCTGTCGGCAAGCAGATCAAAAGATTAATTGGAAAATTGCATGAATGAATTGTCGAACGGTTGATGTTAATGCTGTGGCCAGATTGCTTATGGTCAACCAATTAGTTTATTTTGTAGGCCAGCAAAGTGTAAACACATCAACAGAATGGAGAATGTACGCTTCTCCATCATCGTAAGTGCCCCCCGCCCCCGTCCCCAACCAGTCCACCCACCCAACCATTCTCGGCCAGTCTCTCTCGGTATGCAACGTTTGGTTTATTTGTTTTGGCAGGAAAACGATCTGAAATGGCAATCGGAGAGTGACGCGGCCGAGATGCAGATGCTCTTTGATAAGCGCAGCATTTCGAGCGAGGCCAACAGCGACGCCGTCTTCAGCAACGAGGCGCACGAGATTTTCACACGTCAGCAGCAGAGCCAGGTGCTGTGGCAGGCCCAAGAGGTCGAGGAGACGCTCTGCGCGGTACCCAATGGTCGCCAGATCTTGGACCTGGTCAAATCGGGCTGTTTTCTAGGTGCGCAGCCAGTGAAGATCGCTGGGCAATAATTGAATTAACTGTTATTGCTTTGCAGAGCTAATGATCGAACCGAACGACTGCAACCTGGCGCTCATCTGCTGTGCTCTCTACGGCTCCGTCGAGAACATTATTTACCTGCTCACTCACTACGATGCCGATCCAAATACCTCCGATAGTCGAGGCCGCACTCCGCTGCACTTTGCCTGCTGTCGCGCCAATGCGCCCATAGCCAAAGTATTGCTCGATCGAGGCGCCGATCCGAATCGCTGGGAGAACAAGAAGGAGGTGACACCGCTGCACTGCGCTGCCAGGTGATGATAGACTTACATTTATTTACCTGAAAACCGATTCAGTTGACCAGCATTGTAGTATCTCTTTTATGTATAAATTAACCAAATTGCGTCTCCTTCAGTTCGAAGAGCGTTGAGTGCCTGCTGCTGTTGCTCCGGCGTAAGGCGAACATCAATATTGGCATCAACAGACGATCGGCTTTGCATTATGCTATTGACGGGGATGCCGTCGATTGTGTGGAGATTCTATTGAAGTATGGCGCTGATCCGAATACGCCGCAGGTGTACACAGAGACGCCGCTGCATACGGCC